CCACAGCCCACGCCAGCGCGCAGAGCTCGGCGGGCGCCCCCCGGCGAGCAGAGGAGGAGCTGCAGTGCTAGGGCCGCCAGCCCGCAGTCACCTCGAGGCCCACCGCCGCCCGCGTGCACAAGACATGAAGACCAAAACCCCACTGGGAAAACCAGACCTTGACCTTGTTCTTCAAATGGCCTCTCCACAGTTTAATAAAATGATTTCCATTTTTATTTGTGTTGGTAACGGACCAGTTGAGCGTCACACTTCAGTATTCATAGATTATCAGCTTTTAAAATGTCCTGACCTGAGCAGGTGCACACACACTTGGTCATGACCTTCTCTTCGTGTAATTCAACATATTTTCCAAACGAGTTGTTTTGATTTTTGCTTGACTCCTTTACCATGTGCATGTCTGAAGGCTGAGTGAGCACCCCCTTTCGGTTCAGTCAGTCCACTGGCTGGAGTTCTGTCTCCAGCAATGGGAAGACACTGCAAATTTCATTAAACTGCTTGTCATCTCCCTCACCGACATCAGTTACATGTTTATTTAAGCAATTAAAATAATTGATTTTAATGATGACTTTGAAGCCTTCATTTCTTTAAGTCTTCAGGGCTATTGATGGTCTTAAAAGGTGGTAGCTATGATTCTGCAGACATTATTTTAACTCAACTTCTGCTAATCTGATGAACATGAGAGGAAATGTTAAGTAATTAGAACCTTGGCTACCTTAGGATGCTAAAACAACCTTCAATTCTAAAATTCTCTCTAGTCTACATAGAGCAGTAGTGAACTCAGGTTACTGCTAAGTAGGTGAGGATATCTGCAAAGGGAATACAGTAGCTAGAAAATGGGAGAAGCAGAATCTCTTCCAGTTTGTAAAATTGCTCTTATGCATGAAAAAATCATATTAATACAATCAGATTTCTGCAGTAACGTTTACCTTCCACATCATATGCAAATGGGAACATACATTTATTGCTAGGTAGCAGAGATGCATCCTATATGTACATTTTTTTAAATGCAGAGACCTACTAAAAAAAAGTCACAATTTAAATATATAAATATATCACGTATATTTATAATATATAATCCATGTAATATATAACATAATTAGTTTGTTCATTTTTAATTTATTAAATAGAAGTAGATATGTGTGAAATAAAGCCAATCTTAAAAATTCTATTGAAATAAGAGCAGGGCAATCTGTACACCTGACTGAAAATCAAGCTGGTTCAGGACCACACAATCTCTGAGGCCTGGACTCTAAGCAGAGAGAGCTATGGGTCTGTAAACTTGAACCAGAGTTGACCAATGTGGACAAAGAAGCCATCCATGCCTGTAGGAGGGAGCATCGGCGTTCTCCCTGATTTATCCTTCCAGCCAAACCCAGTCCCTCTGGCTTGTGACCGTGCTGCTTGCCCACTGCGGCATGTGGGTACTTGTTTCTCTGTGCCCCATCTGTAGTTGCCTGGTGCATTTGAAATGGTCACCTTTTGTAAACTCATTGCCACCTTCATTTTGACCACAATTCAGCACACTGCAATGTATTAGAAAAAGCAGAGTTATGGTGCTATAAACAAATATCTCCATTCACCAACCAATTTCCGCACATGGTAGTCTCAGCCTTAGCTCTGAGAACACAGTATCAAAATTGGATAGAAAAACAATCAAAGTTAGTGTGAATGCCTCAGAGCTTCAAATATATTTTAGCTGTTTATTTTAAACCATTCTTCATTCATCAGTTTGTAAAAACTATATTCATGTCCCGTTTTAATTGAAAAGGTATTTATTAAATTATTCTCTATCTGGGAGTGATATAATGGCCATGACATGAGTAGTCTTTTTTTCATTTAGTCATAAGATGTGTGTGAATCAGCCACATCATCAATTAGAATAATCAAATCAGTTGTTGGTAAGTGGGTAGTCTTATGCTAGAGGTTTCATTTCATTACTGCCTCATCACTCATGAGCTGCCTGTTTCTCCCTCTCTTTGTATGTGCAGTAGTTTAAAGTGTTCCACAAGTGCTAAAGCATTTGCACACAATGGATGTAACCTTTCACTAACAAATCAAAATGACTTTTGGTCAGCACCATGTATACAAAATGATATCAACACAAAAAAATGTACAGTACTTCTCATCCACGGTTTCAATTTCTGCAGTTTCACTTTCCTGTGTCAACTGCAGTCTGTAAATATTGTGTGGAAAATTCCAGAAATAAACAACTCATAAGTTTTAAACTGCACACCGTTGAGTAGCGTAATGAAATCTCATGCCACCTTGCTCAGTCCCACTGGAGGTGTGAATCACCCTTTGCCCAGCTTCTCCACGCTGCCTATGCCCCCTGCCCCTTAGTCAGTTAGTAGCCAGCTGAGTTATCAGATCAACTGTCTCAGTATCGCAGTGCTTGTGTTCTTCTACTTAATAATGGCCCAAAGTGCAAGAAGAGTGATGTTGGCAATTTGGATATGCCTAAGAGAAGCCATAGAGTGGATGTATGTATAGGAAAAAACAGTATATATAGGGGTACTATTGCTTTGATGGAAAATATTCATAAGTTTACGCTGCAAGTTAATCTTAAACTTGTATCTCATAAAGACTATGTTGATAGATCATGTCAGCAAAGCAATCTGCATTTTACCCTCAATTAGACAATTTCTTATAAATCTGCTCTTCAACCATATAGAAAACGGAAAAAACTTCATGCTTTATTACGGAATATCTTATTCAGTGGTCAACATGAAGAGGACAGCTGGAATCTAAGCTGCTCTTCTGCCACTACACTGTTCCAAAAGCACCTGTCAGCTTGTGAGTTGTGTAACTTCACTATAAAATGGTGCATAAGGTGAGCTTCAACCCCGTCTCTCACTTATTATCAAATTTGAGTGTGTGTGGGTGCAATAAAGGAAGCTGGTGATATGATTAAAAAGTGACTTCAATATAAAATATAAAGCGACTTCTTCAAACCTGGTGTTCAAATGTAATTTCAATTACAATAAAAAAACTTTAATATTGGCAAAATATGATGGTTACTTTTCATAATCTCTAAGAATGATAAAACTCTTTATTCTACATTTCTACTTGGCTTTGAATTTATACCATAGAGTATGTATCAAAGCAAACCCAAAATAACATAATACTAAATCTTCCACAGAAATCAGGCTCAATCTCAATTTGAATATGAAGACTAGCAAAATATTTAAATAAAAATGCTAGGTGTAGAGGATGCTTTTTCACAAGGCGTTTCATCAGTCATTTACCCCCAGCGTATATTACAAGACTTTCAGATGACCACGTTGGACATTCTGTTAGAATCAACATTTTTTCAAATATTAATACAAGGGCATTGTAAGGAATTGTTTTGGGGGAAAAACCCATCCTGCTCCCGTCAGCCCCAGGGACTGGGCAGGGAGAGCTGGCCTGAGGTGTGCAGCCCTGCCCTTCCACCCTCTCCTCCTTTTCAGTGAGGTAGTCTCTCTTCCTCATTATGAGGTAACAAGGAATATCTTTGGTTGAGTTCATGTTGGGGGTCATTGAGAGCATATGACCACTGGTTGTCCAGTGAACTGGACCTGGGCAGTCAGAAGCTCCTCACCCCCACCTGTCCGTAGAATGTACATTCTCCCCACTGTTCCCACACTTGGAGCTGTTTCAAGGACACAGCCTTGAGAGAGTCATGCGTTGAGACCATTTGAATGGTATAATTACGGAACCCAGTTAAGGCCTCTATATAAACTTTTAAGATTCTGGAGGGCAGGTGTGGAGATCTACTAACTTGTGACACCCACCCTCCTGCCACCACCACCACCCTCACCGCCCAACAAGCCTTGTAAGTTAAGTTCCCTTGCTTGTTAAAACCGCCACCTACCAATCTGGACTGGTCTGTCTCTATCTTTGGTTTCTTGTTGTTCTGCACATATGGGGGCTAGTTTGTGAACCAACAGTTAAATCCAACAATAATTATTTACTCTGCATCATAATTATAGTCTTTATTATTCAGAAAACTAGTTCCAGGCAAGTAGCAGGTATTTTCCAGGAAAAAAAAAACAAAAAACACACATTTTTTTTTTTAAGTGATAATGCTCAAATATGTATAGAATTGGCTGGTGAATTCAAGTTATTTTTTTATTGATCTTCGTTTTTTTCCTATTTTATAGCACCACTGTGTTTTGTTTTTAAACATATTACCTCAGTAAGGAAGGCTTAGGACTGTTTGAACCCTCACTTGATAAAATGGAAAACTGGGATAATGACTGAGTGACCAATATTCAGTCTGACCCAGTAGATGCTTCCAAAGTTTCTCTGTGAATTTATGAAAATCACAGAAGGCAAAACACCCCAAATAAAAGTCCTGGTTATAAGTATTTGAACCTTATCTGGGGTTATTTTGTGGGCATGTTTTCATGCCAGGAGAAGTATCTTCAAAACACTGATTAATGTATTTCGGTGTTCCAACTAACTGCATCTCCCATAATCATCATGCTTTGCTGATTTTCCACCATTTATCGCCATTTAAATACTGTTGCTACGATGCAGCAGTATCTGAGGCAGAGCAGCTAGATGTGCACGTGTGTGCTTCTTCTGAAGAGATCATGCACTTTGCTTCCAGCACCCTGGGTATCCATGGATACCGCATAGAGTTTCCAAAGAAACGCTGCCTAGAATTCTCACTATGCCAACCTAAAAGCCCTTCTTCAAATGGAAACTCACATCTGAACTAAAGGAGAGGCATCATGTTCCACAGCAAAATACTGAGCAGGTTTGTACCGATAGCCTTCCCTTCCTCACCATTTAACAGTTGTGCATCATTTAAAGGCAAGTGGGCCTTTAAATTTACTTATCCTATGAAAGGGAAAAGAGAAGAAACCAGTTCTGGTGTGTTCCCTATAGAAGGTCCAGTGACCCCAGCAATACTCTTCTTAATATATATTTCTTACCTGGTGATAAATGTTCTTCTAACGAAGGTCTGAAGATCTGTAAATCAGACAGGGAAAAACAGAGGAAGACAAGTGGAATTTGAAATTGCATGCCCCAATTTATATCTCCAAATGACAAAAAGGACTGGGGTTTGGGGGAAGGGAAGGCACCTGTTAGCAGGTTTACAAGTCCATGATCAGGGACCTAAAGCAGGTCAAAGTGAAATTAAAAGTCTGTTTCCAGAGCGTGATCATTTGAATAAAGCAGCACTTCGTCTGAGGAGAGCATGCATGCAGCACATTCTGTTTCCTGGATCCTTATCACGAAGTCAGCTGAATAATCTGTTCTTAAAAACAATCATAATTAAATTTTCTATCATTCAATGAATCTGGCCCTCGGAGATGTAGGGTATTAATGCAGAATTAGATGAATTAAAACCTCCAAAAAATATTCCAAAGTTTAATGTTTTTAAATTTATTTAATTTAGTTCATAAAAAGGCACCCACCCCCAAATCTTCATCCGTGACCACATCCTGTTCTGTAGCTTCTTTTTTTGCCCAAAATGCATCGCGTTTCTTGCTGGAGTCCAGGGAATTGAAAATAAACAGACTCACATCTGAGGAAATCAATAGACCAACAGTGGCAAAGCACAGTATTATGAAATGGAAAAATAAAATGTTTGTTACAGGAGTGCAACAACATAGAGACCAACTCAGGAACACGGCTCACTGGCGGCGGCAGCTATGGTAGCGTTTCTTTCTGCCTCAAGTTCAGAAACAAGCTGGACTATCTCAGGGTGACTGAATTTTCCTACAAGGCAAGAAGACAAGGAAAAGATAAGGACGAGAGAAGACATCAATTTCTCCAACTTCATTCCAGAGCTCGTCAGGGGCTCAGTTCTATAATCTGACCCATGCTTCGCTCAAACACAGAACACAATTCCAGGTCCGCCCTTCCGATATGGAGAGGGGCCAAAAGGGACCACCTGGAGCTTTTTCTCCATCACCCACATGCCCCCGCGCAAAAAGACGAGAATCGGGCAAAGAACTGTCTATTAAACAGAGCTAGGAGAGCCTCTGAATGCCTCTATCAGGAACTACAGGGAAACTCATGTAGTATGGAGCACAGAGAGCTGAAAACAATCTCTGCCTATTGTAAACCTGCAATTAATTGGAGGAACAAAGCACCTACATATAAAAAGACTACTAAGTAGGAAGACCAGAGGGTCTAAGCTTTCTCAGGATGCAAACAAGAACGCAAAGGTGTCTTGCAAACATCTCTATACTGAACCGGCTGATCCATGCTGTTGCCTACTCCTCAGCCATCCCCAGAATTCTGCCCTGGGTAGCAGCCCAGCTCAAGCTCTCTTTAGGTCGTTAGGTCGATGGCGGCCAGCACGGGCATGTTAAACTCACCGTCTTCCCTGTCTGTTCTTGCCAGTGCCTCTTGTTGCTTGCTGTTCATTCTGATTTAACGCTATTCCAAGCACTCCCTGTCCTCGGCCTCCTCTGTCTCTGACACCTGGCTCGTTCTTTCCCTACAGGCCTCTGACGTAGTGGCTGTTTTCCCTCACACTAGATTCTCGCCCCCAGGTCTGGGCTGTATTCCATGCTCCTCGTTGACTCCAGGCCATCCTCTGCCCCACTGTGCAAAGGTCATGCTGCTAGACTGTTACTAAATACCACATCACACAACTGCTCCTGCTGAAGACACCAGTTAGCTCCACGCTGCTAAATCTCATAGCTACTCCTCCCCTCTTGAAACATTTTCTTCCCCTGGGTTTTGGGACCCCTGAATTTCTTCCCCCAAACCGCACTCTTCCCTCGTCTAGAGGCAACTCCACTCTTCCAGCTGCCCAGGCCAAAATCCTTGGACTCTTCTTATAAACAAACAACACAAAAATCCCATCGACTCTATATTCAAAATATATCCAGAATCAGACCCCGTCTTTCTTTTTCTACCACTACCACCCTGGTGCAAACCACCGTCTTTCTCACTAGGATACTGCAACAGTCCCCAACTGGTCTCCCTGCTTCCCGCCCAACTGACCCACTGGAAACACTAGTCAGGTCCCATGAGTCCTGAGCCCCACTTCCCCCCAGGGGTCCCCATCTCAGAGCACCAGCCAGTGCCCAGCGCTGGCCTGTAAGGCCCTGTGGGCCGCAGCCTACTTCTCTGGGCTCCTCTCCCACCCCCTCCTCTCATCCACCCCATCAACAAGCTTTCAAATACAAAACACAAAAAAAGAGAGCACTAAGTTGTGACTGAATTAGAGAAATAAAAATGTGCTATCAAACAAAGAAAGTCCTTTTCAAAATCCTCATAATGGTCAGAGTCTACATTTCATCTCTAATTAAACTTGTGGTTTTTTTTTTCTTCAAGCATTATTGAAATAAGAAACCATTTCTTATAGCAGTTCAGTACTTGTATTTATTCATTTTTTAAGAGAAGTCATGCACTCGAGTGGAAAGTGCAGTGAATTTTAACCTCAACTCAGCATGGGCACCTCACCCTCTTTCCAGCTCAAGCCTTTTCCTCAATAAAATGTGGAGTTTCAACTAGATGACCCTTCCAGCTCCCACACATTTTATTTTACTAGTATTTTTATGCTTCATTTTTCTATTTTTCATTGTGAATGTATCAAAATCAAAGATTATAGTGTTAAATGCAAAGCACCACATAAGGACTTGTATTTTACATTACTGGTGAAATATGCTAGCGTCAAGCCCAATCATTGCTTAGAACACCTTTTTCTATAAAGAGCCGGAGGGTAAATACTTTAGGCTTGGTGAACTATGACTATACGGTCTATGTTGCCAACTGCTCACCTCTGCTGCTGTAGCACAAAAGCACTAGAGATAATTCATAAAGAATGTGTGTGGCTGCTTCAGTAAAGCTTTATTTATACAAATAAGCAGCAGGCCAATCTGGCCCGTCGGCCAGAGTTTACTGACCCCCAGTTTACAGCGTTACTCATTTAACTGAAGTCAAACATTTCTGAGCATCACTGGCATCAAAGACAGATGAGACACAGCTGGTCTTAGCCCTAACACAGCTTACTACGGGGGTGGGGGGATGAGCACGTGAGGGTTTGTGAAGAGACCCAACGAGGAACATCATTAAGGAAAAGGCAAGTCAGACTGTGACAACGCTATGGCAGTCTCTAGACCAAGTGCAGGTCGAGCACAAAGACGGAACACTTCATTTTGACAGCGAGGATTAGGAAAGGAAACGAGAGAGACGAGCAGCCTTAGACTACAGAGGTTTTTATTTAGGCCACTCAAACGTGTCAGGATTTTATTTTTTAGGAAGAGGGAAACCACAAGAGTTTTAAAAACAAAGATGTGATCACACATACACCTGCAAAGGAGGAAGACACTGAGACATGTGGGAGGCGCTCGCGAGCCTGGCAGGTGAAGCGAGGTGGTTATAACAACAGTCCGGTACAGAAATAATGAGGACCTTGTCTACAGTGGGGGTAATGGGGCTGGAAAAGGGGGGAGGAAAATCAAACCAACGTCATTATAATGCAGACCATATTTTGGACCACAGTCTGTGAGCTGGGTCCTTCCTCTATTTGGTGAGGCCACGTGAGGTCCTGAGAGGTCCCAGAAAGGCTGTCTCTAATGGCACCCTCAGGAGAGACGGAGGCTGCGCAAAGTCTGACGGGCTCCCAGGGAAGAGAGATGGGAGTTTTACTCCAGGGAGCAACACGAACACCAGCCATTGCTAATACAGGCTACTTAGCTCCTCACTCTGGACACTGGATCACCATGAAGTTAGCTAAGGCATATTATTGCCAGGCATTATTCTAAGCACGTCACATAAATTAACCCACTATTTCCTCAAATAACCCTGTAAAATAGAGTCTGTAATTATCCACATTTTAAAAAAAGGAAACTAGGCCCAGAGCTGGGTTAAGGAATCTACTGCAGGTTACAGAGGTTCTCGGTGGCAGAACCAGCATTCAAATGCAAGCACTCTGCCGTCAGGTTTGGGCTATGAAGCGCTGTAATGACAATGGTATGCTGACTAGAGCCGTTTGGGGTTTTCTTGTTTTAAATCTCTATTTCTATTGTACCTCCACCTTACATGACCTTACATCCATAAAGCTCTTATTGATCACAATGTACTTTTACATCATTATCTCTCTTAAATCTCAAAACCAACCTATGACTCAAGTAGGGTAAATACAATGATTTCCATTTTTCAGAGAGGACACAGAGGGGTCAGGAGACTGCCCAGGGGCACACAGCTGGCAGGTGGGAATGTGAACCTGGCGCTCAGACTCCAGGGTGGCAGTGCGCTCACGCACCAGGCCACCTCACCATGAATCCCACCATTTTCTTTTTCGATGCTTCATAGGGAAGGGTCACAGAAGTGATTCACTACTATAATGCTAGTTAGTCACTACACTAGGATTAAGCCAGACTGAAATGGAAGTAGCACCACATACCTGCTGTGGAGTCATAGAAATCCTGCAGTCGCCCGGGCTTGTTCTCAAGGTCTTCATATTCAGATGCCTGAAGAATCATCTCACATTGGTCCAGCTGCTTCACAAATTTGGCTTCTGGACTAGACTGGGTCTCATACTCCTAAGTAGGGGCAATTAGAGCAGCATTAGGGCTGCATGAGAGGGTAATCCAGGACAATTCTGATTCCGGTACCTGAAATCAGTCACAGCTAAAAGCACATCCTGTACTGGCCACATTTCTCCAGGTATACAGACACTCACAGAGATGCTTCACCTGTAATTTCACAGCTAACATCAGCGCTCCATGCAAGAAAGATGTGCTATTTCACGTTCCTTGGAAGTCTCGTTTGTTCATACTGACGTTTCCAAGCATTTTTCTTCCTGTTCAGTATCTTGTCTTCATTTGAAGGTCATTATTCTCTAATCCACCTGAGTGGTGTAGGTCTTTTTAACTTCAAGCTAATATCCTATCTCATGCTTATCAAATTATTTCTTTCTCCATTTACTGTATTTTGTGTATAATGCGCACTTTTTTTGCCCCAATTTGTGAGGGAAAAATAAGGATGCACATTATACATGGGTAGTACTAATTCTGTTTCCCTGAAAGTTTGGGCCAAAAATGTGGGTGCACATTATACATGGGAGGGCATTATACACGGCAAAATAAGTAATGTCAGGTTTCCTTTTCCTTTTTAAGTGAATTTCTAGCTTTCTCATTGAATTTTGGTTACCACTTTACACTGGGAATCTCTGTCCTTACTCCTCAAATAGGGAAGATTTAATCAAGTCTCTGAGTTATGACTCTTGAGGATGTAGTCAGGACTTGTGAACTCTTCATGCAGTGGTGTGTGCGCATGTGTTGCTGGCAGGGAGGTGCTGCAGAGCGGACAGGGAGCAGCTGTTTTACCTTTCCTCTTCCCATTGGTCCCTCCCTCCTCAGTGCAGACCTGAAACGAGAAGCTACAGGAAGTCTGCTTCTTGACAGCATGACACGTGTCACACAACCACAAGTCCCAATTAATACTATATAGAATCATTCTCCTATTAAGACCAAAGTGTTCCCAACTGGTTTCCCTGCAAAGTTCTCATTTGTAATTCCACCCCAGATGTGTTCAGATAATGAACCTGTTATGCTTTCTTGGCAGGATAATGTGATGTGAATCACTGAAGGTTTCTTGGTTTTTATTAAATGCCTTATTCTTAAAAAGGCAGCTCTTTGGATTTTGATAAGAGCTTAAAATTATACAGGGAAATCATTTTAACATGAAACCAAATACATTTTGTTTTATTTCAAAGGCATTTAGAAATAATTACACTTAATTTAAATGTGTATGTATATTATAGTTATACATGTATATTTAAGAAATTTAGGTTCATTATTTAACAAAATGAAATGGAATTCTCTAAGCATAGCAGTCCAGGATTTTTCTCTGTTGAAAGTGAGAAAAAAAGATTACAAGACCATTAGGAAATAACACGTTCTGGTGAAATTACACATTTTTCAAAAAAATATAAATTGCTGGGTTTTCTCTCAAAAAATAATGATACTGGGATTCTCCAATTTCACTTTCCAACAAGGAGGCAGGGCAGGGAAAAGAGAACTGCAGACTAAACTCTAGAAGTAAGATGGCGCCATGGCATCTTTGGGGAACGTACTGCAAGTAATGGCAGGACGAGTACTGAAGGGAGGAAGCGGAGCGAGACGAGGCTGGAGGTGGAGGAAGAGCCAGCTCCGGAAAGTGTTTGTGGTTTATGCTACCGGGTCTCAGGTTATCCTGCAGAGACTGGACATCACCGAAAGGTTTCAAGCAAGAAGTGTCATGATCAGATTTGCATTTCAGAAACATCATTCTAGTTGCAGTGTGGAAAATGGACAGAATGGAAGCAGAAAAATCAGGCTGAGACTTTGTAGCACTAGTAGAGAAGTTATAAGAATCTGGTCTAACCTAAGGGTGTGGCAATGAAGATGGGGAAAAGTGGGCAAGTTTGAGAAATGATAAGGATAAAGAAGCAAACAAAAATGTGAAAGTGAATGAAAGGGGGTGTCAAAAATGACTCCCTAGGGCCCGCCGAGTGGCGTGTTGGTTAATAGCTGGCTTGGGACGCCAGCTCTGAGCAGCAGGGCCCCGATTAGGATCCCACATTAGGGCCAGTGACACTGCCCTCTACAGCTAACATGGTGAACAACAGCTCGACCTGGAGCTGGGCTGCTGTGAGTCAACGGCGACGGCATAGGCTGCAGCCCCTGCTGCAGTGGGCTGCCATAAGCGACCGTGTGTGGACGGCAGCCAGTGTGAGGAGCCGGAAGCTGGTGTGAGCTGCCAAGAGCCACCGTGAGCGGCTGTCCAATGACCGGCGACCGATCTGCCTCACCCGGGAAGAGCGCAATGATAAACCAACATGGGCCAGTGAAGCAACGTCCTGCACAGCTAGTCTGAAGAACAAAAGGACAGCAACTTGTCTGTTTCCCTTCCCTGGATTCCCCAGTGCTGTTCCCCTCCCCCAATTCCCCAATAAAATCTTAAAAAAAAAGAATAAAATGACTCCCTAGTTTCTGGTTTGGGTAATTAAACAGGGAGCAAAACAGAGAAGCAGATAAAAAAAAAGAAAGAAAAAAAAAAAAAAGAAACTTGAGAGAGCAAAGAAATAGTAAAACCAAACTTGCGTGGATAACATTTATAACAAAACTGAGGGACATAACATTACCATGAATCACAAAATATATGTGAGTGGGGACAAACCACCTCCAGCCATAAGCCCTGCATGCAACCAGCGTCTGTCAGGGAGGAGCCAAGGGGAGGGAGCAATAGGACATCTGATGGGCTTAAGAACAGGAGAATCTCCAAATAGCTGATGGGTGTTCATAGAATTATCAAATTTTAAGAACAAAAGAAAACACTGGCAGGATCTTGCCCACTTCAACAGCAGCTGATAAAAGTCCAGCCCTGGTGAATTCGCCAGTCTGGCCTGCAGGGGCTCCCTTCCAGGACAGGGCCCTACATGAAGAGAAAATGCTAGGAATGGAATCAAAATTGAGTGGGATAAGGATAATAGAACTAAAGAAATGAAAAAGTCCAGATAAAAGTAGTATATGGGGAACAAAGTCAGGAAACCTCTGAAAGCAAGCCATCATATTTTTAACACTACATTAAAACAAAACCAACAAAAAACAGAAGAGGAAACCCTGTGAAGTTAAAAATGCTATCTGAACCAAGTATCCTTCCCAAAGCTCAGGAAAACTAATATGTATCAAAATGAACAACAGGAAAAGCACAGAGGTCAGAGTCCATAAAAATTTACCATAAGAGAGTAGGGAGCAAAATAATATCTTTACACACAATTGATTGCAGAAAGACATTCTCAATCTTTTTTTAAAAGGACCAAATCTACAACATACTATTTCAGAAAGAACTAACAGGTATTAAGAAAATGATAAGACATGAAAGAACAATGTAAAATCAATTAGAGATAAAAGAAAAGTCATTAAACATGATAAATAACGCCTTAAGGAAAATAAAAATCGAAAAGCAGGTTAAGTTTCAAAGTCAAAAATAAATGAAGACGATATAAAGGATTTGAGAGGTGACAAACGCTGAAGATAGGCAAAGATGAACCAATGAAGACAAAAGCAAAAATTATATTCATCAAAATTTTCTTGAAATTAAAACACAAATTTGAAAGTATGTATTAAAAATGCAGACTAAGTACCTAAGGATATTAACCCCAAATAACCAACACAAAGACATACTCCAATAAAATTATCTAAAAAAAAATCTAAATAATTAACCCAAAATGACCAACACAAAGACACAGTCTAATAAAATTATCTTTAAAAAAATCCTTTGGACACCTATGCAAAGAGCATCTGAAATATAAGGAACATAAAATTATGATCAGACTTCGACAACAAGCTTGATGATAAGAAAATGGAAGTAACACATTTAAGATATTCAAGGGAAGAAACTGGAAGCCAAAAATTTTATATCAAGTGAAACTGACCTTTAAGTATAAAGAACACAAAGGAACTGTTAAAAACATGCAAGATTTAGAGAATATTATTCCTGTGAGCCTTTCTTGAAGAACCTACCAGACAACAAGCTCCAGACAACCAGAATGACTGGGCAAAGATTAACATTAAGGACTGGGGGTGAGCATCACTACATAGTTACTTGTAGAACTAAGGTTAAATGAGGTTTAGAAGAGAAAGGTTATATAGTACATGTAATGGTTAAATGTACTGACAATGTAGATATAGAACTATAAAAAAACTAGGGGGAGAATGGAACTAGCACAGACAAAACAATTTTTTAAATTGTTCTCAATAATCAGAATTAATGATGGTGGTATATACAATTGTTATTCTGAAGTGGGTACATGTGTAAAAAGGGATAAAGTCTATAACTAAAATTCCTGGTGTAGAAGAAAGGATATGCAACATAATATATAAGAGGTTAAGTAAAAATGGTGTAGTTCTGAATCTGAATTGGAAATAGCACTAAGAACTAATGAGATATTATATAGTATATAGCTACACATATACATATATACATACATATATGTGTATATATATATATACATATGTGTGTATATGTGTGTGTATACATAATATATGTGTGTGTGTGTGTGTGTATGTATATATATATATATATATATATATATATATATATATATATATATAAAATAATCTCCTAGCTCTGTCCACTAAAAAGCATAGAAACAATAACCAACTCAATAGCAATGAGCATCCCTAGTACCTATCTTGTGGTCTTGGAATAAAATTTTCTATTTAAAAATAAACAAAGAACAAAACAGGTCTGGCAAGAACAAGTTCAAGATGAATGAGGCTGGAACACTTTGCCACTCCTGCTATCAAAGGAGCCGTCAAAGTCAAGCATTTTTACACCTTTCCAACTGAACTGTAAACAGAGTACATGAGAAAGAAGCATCTGCTAATAAAATTATTTCAGCTACAAAATGAACACAAAATAAAAACATTAGATTACCATTCTACAACCCCAAAGGATTAAGGGATATAAGGATCAAGAAAACTCAGACATTATGAGCCTCATGATGAAAAACTCCAATACCACCTACAGTTTTGCCAAAAGGATCCAACCCGAGTCTGATCCAGGCTCTGGATGCAGCTGCCAATCTGCAGAAAATCAAAGGACAGAAAAACACAAACTGCATCACGAGTGTGCAACTGGAAAAACCCAGAGGATGGAAAACTCTAAGTGCTAAATGGTCTGGATTCAACAGGTAGGTAACTTGTAAGAAAAAGAAAGGGGTGGGGGTAGGGGGTGGAGACTGTACATTAAAAAATAAAGACATATTATGCTTTACAAAAATGGGCAAGATCAAACTAAAATATCTAGGGCGGAGCACTTGGGTGAAAAAGCCATAAATTCAAGTGGTCACCCTGAAAATCAGGGTAGTGGCTACTTCTGGAGAAAGGCAGGGGTCGTGTTGGGTCAGGGGATGAGAAAGAGCTTCTGGGAAAAATGGCAAAGTGCCAAATCTTGACTTGGATGGTAGCTAAAGACAGTTATCCTTCTAAGAACTCACTATGCTATACATTGTTTTTTCGTGTGTGATTTTCTGTGTTTTATTTTTCAATAAAAGGATTTAAAATAATAAAAATAGCCACAGATAATGAGTGGGCCGCGAACCTGTTAAGGCTCCTGTGGCTACTGAGGTGGAGCTGTTGGATTCCTGAGTCTGGAGCTTAGCAGGAAGATTTTCCGGAAGAGTACATGGAATGATCAGCCCATGATCACTGAAGCCCAGAAGGGTGCAGAGAAGAGAAGGTGGCCGAGGACACCGCCCTAGAAGAGGAACAAGGTTCTGAAGAGATGGGCTGAGGAAGAGGAGCACGCACGTGAAGACACTCAGAAGGAGCAGCCAGAAAGGTGAAGAGCAAACCAGGAGGGAGCAATGCCACAGGCCTCAGGGATGAGGGGCCTTCCATACGGAGCGGAAGCATCTCCTGTGAAGCAAAGGTATTGAGTGGCGCCTGGACAGAGAAGGGCTTGCTCGATGGAGCCACGCAGACGCAGACTGTGACCTTAGCTAGAGCAGGGCGTGGTGCAGCCACATGACACTTGGGTGGGCTGTGAGGAAACAGGGAATGTGGACAATGCCTTCCCTATTTGGCCGTGAAGAGAAGTAGGGAAATGTGGCATCCAGGGAGATTTCAAAAATAGGGTTGTGTGAACATATTTACAAGGCTTACAAAAAGCTCAAAAGGTTCCCATCTGACAGCGTGTCTAAACAAAAGAGGAAAGGCGATTTGCTATAAAGTTGGGGGAGAAATGGCGCAGTAGGTGGTTGAAGAGAGGGATGGACAATTGATGTGGGCCAGACAGAGAGAGGTGACTGGGTGCCACTGAGGGGATGCTGGCAGCCCTGAGGCTCAGCAGAGCTTGGAGGCCGTGAGGGGTGGTGGCTCCAGCTCCTAAGTCGGGGATGGGAGGCCCCTACATCGGCGCTCTGCAGCCATCAGGTGGAACGGTGGGGAGACAAATGGTTGAAATGACCCAGACTGGGGTTTTGGAGAGCAACAGAAGGACAATGAGTTCAAACACGACAGAGGTGCACGCTCTAGGTCCTGAAAATGGAGGACTAAAGGGCAGAGGAGTGGGGGAAGGAGAGGAAGATGAAAAGTTCCTTCCCTCTCCCTCAGGGAAAGGTTGGCCCTGACTAAAGTTGATACATATGAAGTTAATCTCTTGTATCATCCACTCTCCCTCCTCCTAGTGACTCTGCCTCCAGGACTCAGGGTTCTCGTGTTTCTCTACATTCAAGTCTACAGTAACATACTCTACCTGTACTTCAAAGGATAGAACAGGGAGACATTTTTTAGAGTACTTGTTAACCCAACTGCATCTCCAACTGATTGAACTTCAGACAATAAGGAGGGAAAATGCAGGGTCGGAAACAGTCCAAGGGCAGGCGCGGTGTGCCAGGCATTTGGCATGGGGGCGGGGTGCAGGGGGAGCGACTGCTATGCTTTGGGATGCAAAGGGCTGTTTCTTCTAAGTGAAATGCAGGTGATGGGGTGGGCCTTTGTGTGGCACTTTGAGAAAAAAATGAAAATGTTTTCTCTCGCCTTGCTGGAATTTGATTTCACACTTCTATGGCGAAAGATAAATTATAATCAAGGATGTTTAATTGCTTTAAACAGATGTGACCCTCTGGGTTGATAACTATTTATAGTGGTGAATGGCTGTGAATAACATTTCAGAAATCAATCAACTGGCATTTTCTGTTAGTACTATTCTAAGTTCCCCTGGGTATGGAATGACCTTATTTGCTTAAGCCAAAATCAGAACATACAAACTGGAGACAGAAGAAAAATAGAGCTTACTATGCATCAGACAATATTCTAAATGCTTTACATGTACTAATTAATTTGATTGTCATACAACCCTATAAGACAAGTATACTATTATTATTGCCATTTGGTAGATGAGGAATTTAAGGCAGAGAGGTTCAATAAGTTACCCAAGATCACATACCTAGTAAACAGAGGAGCCAGTATTTGAACTAAATCTGATACCGAAGCCCATGTGCTAATATTGAACATGAGTTATTAAAATGCTTAAGTTAATGTAAGAGTTTGTGTACCGGGTTGAATAGTGTTCCCACCAAATTCATGTCTACCTAGAACCTATGAATGCTACCTTATTTAGAAATAGGGTCTTTGCAGATGTAATGAAATGAAGATAAATTCATAATGGATGGACCCTAATCCAATGACTGATGTCCCTATAAGAGAGAAATTTGGGTACAGATACCCAACAGGTAGACACAGGAAGAACACCATCTGACTATGGAGTCAGAGATTAGAGCGATGTGTCTTTAAAACAAGGAATGCCAGAAAAGAGGCATTCATCAGAGGATAGCAAGCGGCAAGGACAGCATCCTCCTCTAGAGAGGGCATGTAGCCTCCAAAACTGTGAGACCATAAATTTCTGTTCTTTTAAGCCATCCAAGTTTGTGGTAATTTGTTACAGCCATCCTTGGAAACTAACAGTCTCTTACTAGTAAGTAACTGACACAGTATCGTGAGTGCAATAGAACTATAAATGCTAACCAACACACAGCATAATGACATAAAGAAAATGCTGAACTAGGAGATGGGCTTGTGGCCTAGATTTGTCACCCACTAGCTAAGAGACCTTGGGGGAAGGTAAGGCACTTCAGCCCATAGTCTTCTTATCCATAAAATAAAGGAGTTAGAAATGGGTTTTCTTTCAATTTTAACTTTATAAAATTCCAACAGATATAGTAAAGAGCCTAAGAGACAAAATATAGAAACAATTTAAAAAATAGATAAGAATATAATAAAGTAGCCACCGCAGAGTACCAAAGTACCATGGTATCAGAGAAGAGAGAGAGGGGGTGAGAGAGAGAATGAATTAGTTTCCGAGGGCTGCTGTAAAAATGACCACAAACTGGGTGGCTTAAGCAACAAAATTTATTGTCTCCTAACTCTGGAGGCTAGAAGTTGGAAATCAAGGTATTGTCAGGGTTGGAGGTGAGAGCAATGCATCAGGAAACCCAGGGGCTGTGAGTCAAGATTGATACCAGGCATTATGGCGACAAGGGAAACGGGGAAATTGGAGGGAAGAAAAATTTCTATCAGTCAGAGAAATTCCTGCAGCAGCTGAAAGGAGAGAAACAGACACAAACCAGAAAATGGTAAGTTAGAGACAGCTTGTTAAGATAATATGAATTAACTAAAACATTGATGAGGAATATAAATTTAGTTACAATAAATAAAAAGCAACCCATCATATATGCTTACTTCCCAAAGTTCATAGAGCTCTTTTCCAAGATCCTTTGAGAGAAGCTGGGTCAGCTGCTTCATGGCTTCCTGAAACATCAAATCATTATTTTAATTTTGTTCACATTTATCTAAGTTAACAATACATACACAAAGCCAAGTAATGGGCCTAAACTCTTACAAATAACTTCCACAGGGGCACGGAATAGTGGATCATATTTACGGCTTACAAGGAAGGCAGCTGTGTACAGTGAGTACATAAGTGTATGCATTCATATGGGCATCACTGAGCCTGCAGCACACCACACACACAAAAGGACAATGAGGAGGGTGTGAGATGGTTATACAAATATCAAAAATGAGGCTGTGGAGTTTACATCTTGTGGATGAGTCACAAGATGCCCACATAAATTTCAATCATAAGCATACATACTAGAGTTCAAAACAAACCTGAGAGCAGGGAGAATAGGAAAATAACTGAATTATCAAGCTCAAAGAAATGTTTTGTATACTATTATATTCATTTTCTATTGTTAATGTTTTTACTGCAAAATGTAAAGCACCACAAAAATGGGCAGTTGTCATTAACATAAAGGAAATTACAGGACAGCATCTTATCGGCTCATAGCCTCACAGGCTGAAAAGGGATATTAAAGGGTAATTAGCCTAACCATCCATGTAGCATCTGAACCCTTCACTGGCATCACTGAACACCTCTTGCCCTCCCTCCATAAACATGTCCGGTGCTGGGAACCTGGCACCTCAGGACACAGCTCAAATGGGCTTCAGGTGGCAGTGACAAGCTGAAAATTGTCCCTGTAGTTCTCCCTCCTGGTTCCCTCCCTCTCACACAAACACAGCGTCAATCAGGTGGGCAGTGACCCAGTGGCCAGAATCTCTTGCGGCCACAGTGACTGGCTAAGGAATAGCCATGTACTGTAAACCAGTCACTCGGGGGCCAGCAGGGGCTGGGAGAGAGAAGCCAGAAATAGAAGCCTGTGAGAGCAAAACCTAAGAGAAGCGGGTAAGAGAATGAGAGTGGGTGTTTGGTACTTGTTTCTAGTCTTGAAGTCCCAGCAGCCACCCTCACTCCTATCGCTTTTCATTTCTGCACTGCTCCAGTGTCCTAAAATAGCATACTTTGGGGGCATAGGGTCTGTTGCAAGTTACTCTCCAATGGCTTCAAACTCATTGACCATGTTCATCCGACACCTCTTTATCTGCTTCAGTTCTAACCAGAGGTTAGGCTCCTTGAGAAGAATACGGTTGTAAGAACCACTTTTGACAAAGTGGTTATATAAAAGTGGCAAAGGTCTTATATAAAATCAAAAAGTGAACTGGGGAAAAGCAATGAAAATAAAAATGGGTATCTGTGTATATTTATTATTGAGAGGAAAAAAATGATATAGAATACAACCACTTCTACAGTAAAACACATTTGCCAGTGTCCACAATCTGCTCTTGCACTTATAACGTCACCATCTGGAACGGCCTGTAGCATCATAAGAGGTAGGAAACTTAGGTGATTTTGTACCTGCATGCTCCCTTGTTCCTTTGTCATAAATCTCAGTGAAATACGAGAAAATACTTTGCATTTTCAAACACTAAAGGTGTCACCTTTCTTTCCATTATTCCAAAACTCATGCTTGCCCATTGCTTTTCTTTGAAAACAATGAAATGAATAATGTATATGTATGGGCATATCAGAATCTCAACTATGAGAATACAAACATAAAAGTCCTGCTTTGACAGGGATTTTTTTATTCCATTTCAGGTGACGCCCCCAGCACTGAATGTAGCTACTGATGTGTGCTCTGATCAAGGCAGAACAGAATGGAACCTCAGCCTCCTCACAATAGACGCTATACTTCTATAAATGCAGCCTAAGACTGAACTGGCTTCTTAGAGATCGCATGCAATTACTGACCTATTAATAAGGTTCCTATTGACTAAACTCACCATGTCCATTAAAAAACAAAACAGATCAATGTTGTTGCTCTCTTCCTGAAATTGAGCAACGATTTTCTGGGTCTAAACTCATCGATATCATTGGTTTCGGTGCAATCAGAACTGCCTGCTGAGGCCTCTGAGGTAGTCGCGATTCTGTTTTGGCAGCATGTGCCACAGAAGCATGCCCGCCTTGTTAAATGAACCCTCTGAAACCGGCTTTGCTGACGTCCAGGGTACAGGCCTGAAGATGCCAGGCTTTCTCCTCCTGATGGCGGGCCCTGCTGCTCTCACTTCTATACTTTTCTCACCTTGTTCACACCTAGATTGAAAGTGATAATTTCCCTCGCCTCTTCCTGTTAGCAAAGCCTGTCAAGAACATGCTTCAAGTCCTCAGCCCAATGAAGCTTTCAGCAAATGTCTTGTGTCAGATATGTCACAAGCACCCAGGAGGCATCATCCATCCTTCAGTCATCACTGGTGAGGCCGATCAGTGCAGTAGTTAATTACACACTATAGATTCAGGTGGGGTTTGAAACTGGCTCCTCATTTACCAGCTGTGGAACCCTGAGCAAGTTACTTAACCTTCTTGTCCTTCAGGTTTCTCATCTGTGAAATGAAGTTAATAATGGTACCTGCCTGGAAGCGCTGCTGTGTGGATTAGATAGGTAATATACAGAAAGCATTTATGATCTGGCACATACTAAGCAGTCTATAAAATGTTCGCTGTATTTTTCATTTTCTCCATCTTGCCAGGTTGACTCTTATAACAAAATTTGGCTCTTCTTTTAATTGCTCAGTTCTTGCCATTTAACCCTTGCAGATACATACATACCATGACTCGCCTTCCATCTTAATAAGTTCTTCCCTTTGCAAAAGAATATAACCTGCACTGCTATATTCCAGCCTCAGGTTCCATCCCACCATTCCTGACGGTCTCTAGCAGGCATCCTTTACCAACGTGGCTTGTAATATAAAGTATAATTTATCCTGTTTAGTAAGGGGGCGGGGGTCACACTATGAGTATTGCTTTTGGATCCTAAATTTTCTCTTCTATGCCCTCATCCTCCCTTTCATCCTAATACCTGTTCTCCTCCAAAACAATCAGTCTTCCAGGTTTTATCAAGTACTTTTTCTCTCTACTTCTTCAGCATAAAGCCTTCCTGATGTAGTCAGCCGGCTTCTGGGCAAACGATGCTTCCTGGTTCTCATTATGTGCATCCCACCTCAGCCAAGAAAACCTCATTTAATTATCTGAATGCATGGTTTAGACATCCATCTCTTATTCATAAACTCCCTCTGCATAAAGAATGGTTCACCTCCCAGGTCGTTCGCTCTGTTCCCACATCCTAGGCAGCAGCAGGAAGAGGCAATGGAATATCAGCGCTCTCCAAGCCTTTGGTTTCTTGTCCAAGAACTTGTGGCTCTCTAACGAGTTTCTCCTGTCCCTTCTGATTAAGGTATTATTTATCCGGTGAATCAGGAGGCGTGGGCAGCATCCAGGAGGATTAATGAGGCCAGAACGGTTTTTCATCATCGCCAGGATACAGTGTCCAGGAAGATGGTTCAGGTCCCCTCTCCCCCTCCTGAGGGCCAGGACTCAGCTCGTCAGGACAGTAGCAGGTCTTCCTTCACCTCCAGTGGTTGCAGATCCTTCCTACTGACTCTGTTTTTTCTTCAGAAAGTTCTGACTTGCTCCTTTGTGGAGTAAGCCTCCAAGTCACTATATATCTACATGGGAACAGCTTGTCTTTTCTTCCTCTGTGTCGCTTTAAAGTCTTTCATTACCCACTGGTATTTCAGTATATGATTTCTCCTCCATGATGTCCAGATTTATCTCTGAACGAAACTATCATATATCCTGAAATGAGCTGTGTTATTGAGGAGGTTTTCCCCCTTCTTTTCCTCTGTGTCATAGCACCCACTGGTTCAGGGCTAATAATTCCTTTCTGTAACTCAGTATCTTGAGCTAATTAGTTTCTTTTTAAATTAATCAACCTAGGAAGAATTATTATTATTATTATTATTATTATTAAAGAATAACTTTTAACCGATTTTTTTAGATAATTTTAAAAAATTTATTTTTCAGGTGTAGCTGACATATAATATTGTATTAGTTTCATATGTACAACATAGTCATTAGATATTTATACACTTTACGAAATGATTACCCCACAACAGTCTAAACTCCTACAGAGAAACATTTTCTTAGTTTCCTCCCTTTTCACAGGCTGTCACAATGCGAAGCCTGAATTCTGGATCGTATTTTGGGAGGAAGAATGCTTTCCTTACACGATTCCGCTTGTTCCCATAATTTAGGATATGCTGGCGCTCCTAAATCGGGATTCCTTGTGGATTTTCTTGCCTCTAAAGAGGCAAACATGCTGCTGGCTACTGAGATCATCTCCACCTCAGGTCTGAGAACAGCTATTTAAGGCCACCTGTCCTGTTAACCCATCTTGATAAAGGATGTGTCCACTTAGCAATTTAGGATCTCTGGCCTATAATAACAGTAGCTTGCAATAATCCCTGAATAGAGAACCAGCCATCCAGTATTATTTTTAAAAAAGCCTTTCTGGATTTTCCAGATTCTCCTTCAAATATGTCTTCCTCTTTGGGCCTGGCTGGCCTCTGGGTTTAGAGCCCAAATTGATAATTGATTTAATATTTCATTTATGTTGTTTGTTTCTTACTAACACAAATATTTTTTCTTTACTTCCAACCACTAAATTAAAGGACTAACTTAAAATTCACCAAATGATAATTATAAAAATGATTATACTTCTAATTTATAAAACTTCTCTCCAAAGAGCTTAACTCACATGGAGAATTCCTTCAAGCTCCAGCTATTTCCACTGTTCTAATGAAAGCCATGCTATCTATGTCCACATACTAATGAGAACTGAAACCAGCATCGTTTCCTGTTCTTGTGTCAAACTAGGTTGAGGACAAGTAAAACCCAATTCATTCTCACTCCAGGAAATCCCTCCTTCTGGAAGATAAGACTGCAAACTACCCAAAACAGAGTAAATACTAATGCCTTACTCTTCTAGAGTCTCTTTAAGACTGTGTCTCACCAGTCCCACCAGTCCAAAGCTATCATGTCCTAATCTCTATGCCGTCTCAGCTAGTTACCCATCTTTTAAGATCCATCTAAGCATCCTCTAGCCCAGACCCTAAAACTCAATAAATAACCTCCCTGACCTTCCCTTGCTGAGACCCTGAGGCTGTCAAGGTGGTGCTCTCCCTTACTCCAATAGGTCTGATAAACTTAGCTTTGCTTCAGCAACAGGTTTTTCTTGGAGAATCTCTTGGAGAGTCAAGAGTCAACACTGACCTCTTCTCGCCTATGTTTTTCTTCCTTGGGGATGTTATCTGCTGGTGCTATGTCCCCAACGATGCATTCTGCCATATCGTGAACCAGGGCTAGGCGGACACATCTAACCAGGCAAGAAATGGTGAATAATTACACAGAATTATACTCACTACAAATTCCTTCTCTATACTATTTTGAAGTTACATAATATAGTTTTCTTTCTCATCACTCAGTATTTTTAATACAGTATTTTCTAAAGTAATTACATTCTGCTAACCTTCAACAATTCTGAGTCAAAACTGCTAGATAATATTCAACACAATACATGAGAGTGCAGAAGAAATTGTTAGCCTGTATTTTTTTTTTAAAATAGCTGGTTTCTCAAATATCACTTTAAAAGACTGATAACTTCAGATTACAAAGCTAGATGATCTGGTTATAGCATTTACTTAATGATACAAAATTTAGAAACAATCATTTCCCCAATATACTAGTTAGATGTCAAAATGAGGCCCTTAATAGAGAAATGAATAGAGTCGGACAGATCTGGATTTAAATCCAGGGAACATTTATTAGCTGTGTGACCTTAGCCACGTTTTACTTAATTTCTTTAAATGCTAAGTTTTCTCAGCCTTCATTTTATCATCTATAAAAAAAGGGATAATACTTCATAAGGTTGCTATGAAAATTAAAGTTGATACTTTTAAGTTTCTGGCACATGTTGATCATTCAACAAATGGCTATGATTATTAGGATAATCATCGTGAAAATAATGATGGTGGGTCATGAGATAAATGCCCCAGAGGGCCAGTTTGTTTCATATTCCTACTATTACCAAGACAGTCCAAGGCCTACCCAGCTCCTCTTACGTATCCCCACCTAGTCTCTCTCTGATCCAGTTCAAATCTCAGACTACTCTTAGGTTTATCTCCATTCTATACCTATACTGTTTGCCAAAAATTTCAGCTCCACACTATCTACAGAGTACAGGGTTTCTCAGACTCCCTAATGAACCTTTGCTGCAATTAAATTGATTTACTTATCATTTCCAAAGTATTTTCCTGCCATCAGAGCTTTGGTTTCTATGCCCTCCTTTCTGCGTGCTGTGCCTTCCACTTCTCTGCCTAATGAACCTTTCTGAGCTCATCTCGGATTCCATCCCCTCCATTAAGTTCACCCAAGAACAGGTGATCTCTCCTGTTAGAATATCATGCTAAGTTTCAAACATAACTTATTTTGCGCTTTTTATAGAAGCCACTTAGGGCCTGTGTCATTCATTTGGGATTTACTTACTGTTTTATATTGCTGGGAAACTTGGTCCCGTGCTCAAAAAGTATTCTAAACACGGTCGATTGACGGAAGGAAGAGAGGATATCTCTTTCTCAGTTATAACTTGCACATACCACTCTAAAATGTCACCTCACAGATGGGTGCTACTATTCATAAAAAGGGGCTAAATAAAAAGCACACAGTGTGCTAATATACTCATAGCATTGTAGACATAACACACCTGCAAAGGGTCTTGAAACCCTAATATCACACTTACATTTCCTTAAGACCAAGGCAGGCTCTTTCACTTGCCAAGAGAAATCTCAGGGTACAATTAGTAACTGAAGCAATCAACACACATAGTTCCCCTTCCCACATCCTAAAGCTGTATGGTTTGCCTCAAACACTTTTTCTTGATATATGAAACTCACCCATAAGAATTTGACACAGGCCTCAGTCATGAAAAGCGGTGCATAATCATAGACCAGAGACCCTAACAAGCACCAAAGTTCACAGCTTACCGGTCTTTGTTGAGATGGTCATCTTTGGTCAGCAGAGCCATAACTGCCATCCTGTACATGTGATCTGACACACTCTCTGGCCTCTCGACATTTCTATACACCCAGCCAGTGCGTGGGACTCTCTGATAAAAAAATTAAGCAGAAAAAGAATTTTATAAAAATAAATAGTTTAACTACTTGTTTTGCTCTTCAAGAGAAGTCCAGGGAATAAGGCACAGAAACAGGGTAATGGTTTCAGAACATATTAAAAAACCACTTAACTAACCAAAATGATTGGTAATCAAATAAACAAATAAGGTCGGCGAATGAGAAAGAGAGGCAGGAATAATTCACCAGTATACAATACAAAAGTCCAACAGTCAAGTTACTCTGTGTTGCTGATGTATAAATTACAGAACACGCAAGTCCTTTAAACATAAAAATAGAACTGGAAAGTAGCTTAATTCTCTTACTTACAAGAGTGGGAAAGTTTTGCCTTCCAACATCCCCATTAGACGGACACAAGTAGAAAGTGCTGTGCTGAAAGCTCTGCACTGGAACACGGGCAGACTTCCACATCCGGAGAAGGGATAAAGGCATTTCTAACCGCTCCGTGCTACCTAAGGAGTCATGGCTCTTCTTTTTATTCAGATCCTAAGTGATCTTGTCAGACTGCACTTTCTCCTCAGGTGTCTACATTTCTCAAGAATTTTATCAACTTTAGGGATAGTAGCATACAACGGATAATCTGCTTTAAACTTGGGAGAAATTCTGCAAACTCACTAAGGGACGGGAGAGGAGGGGGAGGCACGCTACACTCAGAACACACACACACACACACACGAACGTAACGTCCAACTCCTGTTACTTGTGGAACTAAGTATTTATTTGAGCACCCACTTAAAATCGGCAGGACCCGTGTGTCCCGATCTTCCCACCTGCTGCTCAGAAGCCCCAGAAGCCCATCCCCACCCGCCCAGGTGTGGGGTCGAGTCGCCAATGTACCCGCCCTGGGGGCCGGCTCCTCCCCGGCGTGGCCGCCGGGGCTGCCCCTGGCCGAGCACTGGGTCGCCTCCCGACCCGGGGCGCCATGCGGCTTAGACGCCGCCCTCCTCCCCATCCCCCGGCCTGGAGTCGGCCTAGCAGCCCCGCCGCTCGGTAACCGCCTACCATCCGGACGCACTGCGGCCTCCAGGGCTGTTTCCTTTCCTGGGTCGCGGGGACGCGGAGGGCGGTGAAGGCCCAGCGGAGACCGGGGAGTCCCGTAGCCCCACGGCCGCCCAGGCCTCTCCCCGAGCGGCCTGCCCCAGCCTGTCCCCGAGCGGCCTGCCCCGGCCCCAGACGACCCGCCTTCGCCCTCTCACCTTGAGCTGCCCCACAAGCCGCAGAAACTGCAGCAGGTTCCGGGCCCCGCGGCCCGAGAGGGCAGCAGCGGAGGCCGAAGCCATGCGGCCGCGGATCCCACCAGGGCAGAGCAGGCGGCGCGGCTGCGCGCGAGGCCCCGCCCCCAC